ATGTCTTGACTGACTGTCTGAATGAGTTAGTCATTTCATCTGATATCGCTACCCCACCACCCAGTGCATTCTTCCTTTTCAGATAGCAGTGGTAAATTAAAGACTCAAGATTTCATTCCTCTTTAAAACTTTAAGAAATGGTTGATGAATATTTCAGTCTGAATGACAGTGGATGAATTTTGGCATTGGGGATCCAACATACTTTGAGCGAGCCTGTGACAAGACTTTGTTTTTGCAAGCATCAGAGGAGCAGGAAAGCTGACGTTTCGGGTTGGGACCCTTCTTCACCCGAAACGTCAGCTTTCCTGCTCCTCTGATGCTGCCTGGCCTGCTGTGTTCCTCCAGCTCCACACTGTGTTATCTCTGACTCCAGCATTGGCAGTTCTTACTATCTCTTTGTTTTTGAAAGTTGCTTTAACTTATATACCTCTTCTCATGACTACCAGGCATCCCTGAGCACTTTACAGTCAATGAAGTCTTTTTTCAAGTATAGTAACTGTTGTAATGTAGGAAACATAGTCAGCTATATTTATGCAACAAACTCCCATGAAAGGCAACATGATAATGACAAGAGAGTCTATTTGATGATGTTGATTGGGAGATAAAGATTTGCCAGGATCCTGCTCCTCTTCAAAATACTGCCTTTCGTTTTTTACATTGACCTGAGCAGACAGAGCCTTGGTTTAAAACCTCAATTGAAAGGCTGCCCCTCCAACAGTGTTGAATTGAATTGAATTGAACTGAATTGAAATGAATTGAACTGCATTGAATTCAATTAGCTTTATTGCCACATGTACACACGTGAATACTGTGAAAAGGTTACAAATCACCACTTACAGTGCCATCTTAGGTACCAAGATACCTAGGTTTTCTTGAGTACAAATTCTTAGGGAAAAAAATGTTCGAAAATAAAGCATTACAGATCGTCGAAAGTACAAAATCATTGTAATAAATTAGAAAAGTAGAGCTAAAAAGTTCAGAATAACACTTCTTTCAAGATAATATAATAAAGGGGAAAAGAATTAAATAAAAAGAGAAATTAAGACAAAGTCCACTTGGCTCATTTCACCATTGTGGGCTCGAGGACTGGACTCCCCCGCCCCCCTGACACTGGAATTGCAGACCGGACTCACCATGATGCCGATAAAACATGGAATCACAGACTGACTGAAACTACTGCAAAGACACCCAGACTGACACCGATGAAAACAGTGTAGTGCTCACTCAGTACCGCCTTGGAGTGTTAGCCTTGTGTGTTACACTCAGGTCCTGCTCCAGGAAGCCCAGACTCTTAGTAATTCAGAGGCATGTGTGCCACCAGCTGAGCCACAGCGATCCTTTAGATGCACCCCTCAGGTGATTTTATTGATGACTGGAGCTGTTCTGTTCCAGTCTGATCCTGTTGGAACCCTCACTAAGCTGCAGGACTGTAGCACAATATTGACTGTGGCAGGGGTAGAATATTTGGACTGTTGGTCAGTCTATAAAGGTAAAACATGACATTACAAAATAGACCATTTATGCTGCTTTATTTTCCTTCGGAGCATAAACAGGGCATTTTCAGGTTGGCACGTGGTGAGTAGTGGATTGACGTAAGGGTTGCCAAACCTAGCTGTCAGCTTTTTACAATCGACGTTAATGAGTTGGCTGAAGATTCAGAGAGTAATGTATCCATTTTTACTGATGGTACAAATCTAGGTTGGAAGTGAAACTGTAGGGAGGACAAAGACACACTACGAGGAGATATTGGCAGGTTAACTGAGTGGGCGACAAGATTGCAGATGGAGTATATTTGATGACGTAGGAAGTAATTCATTTGCTACTAAGAATAGAATAGCAAAATACTTTCGAATAAGTGTGAAAGCTGCAAATGTTTTTGTCCAAAGTGTTTAGGATGCAACGTATGCATTTAGATAGAGCAAACATGCAGCAAGTTAGCATGTAGAGAGAGACAGCATGCAAAAAGTTAGCATGTAGAGGGAGACAGCATGCAGGAAGTTACCATGTAGAGAGAGACAGCATGCAGCAAGTTAGCATGTAGAGAGAGCAAACATGCAGGAAGTTAGCATGCAGAGAGAGACAGCATGCAAGAAGTTAGCATGTAGAGAGAGCAAACATGCAGCAAGTTAGCATGTAGAGGGAGACAGCATGCAAGAAGTTAGCATGTAGAGAGAGACAGCATGCAGGAAGTTAGCACGTAGAGAGAGCAAACATGCAGGAAGTTAGCATGTCGAGAGAGCAAGCACGTAGGAAGGCAAATGGCATGTTGGCCTTTTTTTTCCAAGAGTATTGAGCAACAGGAATAAAGTAGATGATTTACAAAGGCACAAGATTTTGGTGAGACAATATCTGGAGTACTGTGCGTAGTACCGCAATGGATCACTAAATTAGTACCTAGAAAGTGGAGACTGCCCTGTGGAGAGTAGCTCAGCAAAGTGGGTCTGAATTCACTTCTGTTCAGAAGTATAGAAAGCAATGTCCTCGGAATAAATAAGGTTCTGAAGGGCTTGATAAGGTAGATGCTGAGAAGTTTCCACTGGCCAGGGCATCGAAGTTACACCAAGTCATCAGTCTCAGCCCTTTTGCATGTAGCAACTGCCTACGTGTCAAACACACTGCCTGTTCAGTCCACCCAATGGCTACTTTGGGAACTGGTGCCGGATAGTCCTCAGAACATTTGAGTAAGCATCTGTGGCTACTTACCAGTCCTGACAGGCATACCTGAGATGAGAGCTTGCTGCCGAGCTGAAGGAATGTTCGATGAAAAGTTTATGCATAAATGTAGAAACTAGCAAACCTGAGTATGGTTGTCAACGACCCTTTGTGATGTGTGGAGAGTGGGCTAGGGGAATGATTTAAAACACGACATTCTGGCCAAATCAGTCTTACTTGATCACCTCACCCATATTCTTTTTTATTTTTTATAGAGTAGTCACAGTCACAGTGGTCCATTTAGGCCTGTTATTTCATTGAATGTCCACATTTAATCATAACCTATTTTCCAGTTCCATTCATTTTCAGTTGGTTGGGAAATGATTCTATAGTCTGAAAGCTGGCCCTGATATTCAAAAATCCCCTCCACCTGTCCACCTTCTCACCAATACCTCAGTCTCTAGACATCCCTGGAATTTTCAGCAACAACTGTGACACATTTGGTGACACTTCTTGCCTTCGGGGCAAAAGATTGTAGCTTCAAGTTCCCCTCCGGAATTTGAAGGAGAAAAACCTGAAACTTTATGCTCCTGGTGAAATGCTGAGGGAGTGCTGTACTGTTGGAACTGTCTTCTTGAAGATTGAGCAAATAATTGGCAGATGAATTTCAATCGAGTTAAATATTTGAGTGGAAGCATTTCCAGAATGGTTTCAGAGCTGAGCGTTTACAGCTATGTTTTTTTCTTTAGAATAGACAAGTACGAGCGGCGATCTGATAAATTATAAATATGTCAGACAGGATAGATATGGAGGACAAGTTCTACTTGTGAGAGAAAGCATAACTGATGTCCATAAACCCCAGATAGTTGCTAATAAACTCAATCGGGAAATAAGGAGAATTTTTTTTCTTCAGCAAGAAGTTAGAATGTGAAACTCACAATCTCAGGATTTAGTGGAGGGAAACAGCGTAATCTTAAATACTTTCAAAGAAAGTTAGGCCTATACCTAAAAGAGAAGACAGTAATAAAAGTAATGAAGTGGAAGGATATTTGTATAAACACCGGCATCGACTAGTTGACTCACAGGATCTGTTTCTGTGCTGTAAATTTTACGCAGTCTTACCTCTGAAAAATGTGTTAATGTTATACAACTCTCAGTGCACTCTTCAGATGCATCAACATTTAAGAGACAGTCTGGAGAACTAAGAACCGATTGTTTTTCACTGTTCTGTGGGACCAGAGTGATAATAGCATACGCTCACCAGTTCAGTTAATTGCAACCTGAAAGAGAAAGTCAAACTCTCAGAATATGGTTTCACAACAGTTTTGAGCACATATCATTACACTTTGAGATTCTAGGGGCTGTATTTAGGTAAGTATTTATTATAGGCTTGTTTTTTCTTTTATAGAAGCAGATGATACAGAAGGAGGTTGGCTGACCCATTGCATATCTGTTTTCTACTTCTTACAAACACAATATTGGTAAAGCAGTTGTTTTTGAGATGGAGTTGTTATGGGCAGAGAACTTCTTTACTGCTGCCTAACAGGCATGTTCACAAGTTACTGCTTCTTTCAGATGTGGAGAACTGCCTGCATGACATTATTGTGCTCAGCTTAGACGAGAGAAGAATTACCTAGTGTCACAATCACTGCTTATTTATCAGCCTTTGTCCAGCAGGGTGATGGCACAGAGTTGAAATCCCTTTGTGATTTTGATGAAATCTTCTCCATTCCAATTTCCAGCAGATACATTTCATTTGCTCATCTCCATTAGAGGTTGAGCCTTCAACCTCCGCACCCCTGCACTTAGAGTCCTCCCCTCAAACGTCTTTGCCCTGTTGTCGCTGCTCTCAGTAACGTTTCCCACTTCAGCCTCCCTGTAACTTTCCAGTTTCCTGCTTGTTGTCCAGTTTTTCTGTGAAACACCGTATGTGTCATATGAAAATAAGAAGGCACAGTATTGTATTTCCCCTTGAACAAGTGCAATGTTCAAACTCTCAATGTAATCCATGCTTTAATTAGGCTTGCAGTTTTTTGCAATCCACTAACTGGTACTTTGTTTGTCATTTCTGGCAATTCTTAGCTCTTGTTTGTAAGAGCCTACTGTCCCTTGAATGTAGCAGTTCTTAAAAATGATATGCAACATGTAGCATGGTCAGAAAAGATTCAGTCACTTTTTTCTAAATGTGGGGTTTTTATGCTGTTTGTAATAATCCTCATTATGAGCTTCTGATGGCCTTTAGTTGTGGGTGAGAAGAATATTTATTGACACTGTTTCCTGCACTGAACGTTTCCTGGGCCCTGAGTGACTCGAACATCATTTGTCTCTTTGCGAATCTCTTCTTTCAGGTCCCCCCGGACCCCCTGGAGGGGTGCGAGTTGAGAATATTGGAGACACCTTTGTGACCTTGACCTGGAGTCGAGGGACAGACAATCACAGCCCAATCTCCAAGTACACTATCCGGCAGAAGTTCGTCGATTCTGATGAATGGAAAAATGCCAAGACAGGTCAGTCCCAGCCCAGTTATACGGGAGTCTTGGATTGAATAAGAAAAACACAGCCAGGAATGTTACAATAAGTTCTGTTTCTTTTCTATTCATAATCAAGCAAGTGTACAATTATGTTAATCATAGGTTATGGGGTAAGATGTTGAAAACCAGTTGACCAAAGGAGTACTGTAACTTCTCTCAAGATGTGGCAGAGGGAAGGTGAGAATGATAGGAATTGAAACAATCCTGACAAATTCGGGATTTACTCAAGGGGGTTCTGAGGAAGGATCATTGGACCTGAAAGGTGAACTCTGACTTCTCTCTACAGACGCTGCCAGACCTGCTGAGCTTTTCCAGCAATTTCTGTTCTTGTTTCCGATTTCCACAGTTCTTTTGGTTTTTATTAAGAGACGTACCTCCCTGTTCATGCATCGGACAATGTGTTTTGATTACATTTCTTGTCAGCCATGTTAATCATTTATTAAACTGGACACATTAAGACATTAAACAACAGAGAAAGTTAAAGCCTCAATGTGTTTTGATAGGATTTACACAGACTAGGATGTATCTGGACTAGACAGCCCTATGAAGTAACTATTTCTAAACCACGCCTAATATGAGCTGTCCTTCCCAACACTCCACGCTCTTTTCTCCTTCAGCGTCCATTCCCAATATCGTGTCTTCAGCCATTGTATATGTTAACAGTCTAAGATGCCATATGAGCTGCAAGAAACACATTGTTGTCATGTCCAGATCTGCTCTCAAACAATGTCCAAGCTTCTCTTCTTTTACCAGGAATTTGTAGATAGCAGTCAACACCAGAGGCCTTGGAAGGAGTTCTGTTTGAATTGCAATGTCTTAGCCTAGCCCAGCCTGCAATTAGCTAGTGCAGGAATGATAAGGAACTGAATTGAAAGGCTGAGTTAACCTGCATCAGCTACCTCCTATCTTGACTGGTTTATCCTGTGGTAGGTAACACATTGGCAGATTGCCATGTGCATTTATATTCTCAGAGTTTTTCTGAGAGCAAAATTACGCCATTGAATAAATACTTAGGACTCCAGTGTTCACCGTGTGGAGCAATGATTGCCCACTGTTAACTGGAAGTGAATTCAAGCCACCCACACACATCCAACATTCAAGATGCATGGCAATCATTCAAAGCAGCCTCTTGAAAAACATGTACTGGAGTTACACTTGTGCAGAACTTGTGGGAGATGGTCGCATGCCTTTACTGTTTCTTCAACTACTGTTTTCAACATGGTATGTACACACGGACTGAGGGCAGAAGTGAACATACACACATCTGCCACAGTGTGATTGCTACAAGACATGCATGTGTAGACTGGTTAAGCCACAGAAAGTCATTCCCATCACACAGGCAGCATCTGAGACCACTGCCAGCTGGAGCACATGAATTGCCTTTGCTTGGAAATTGGGGCAATATTCAGAGGCAAAGGAGTTCACTTTCAAACAATCTCATTTCAACCAGCATGCTGAAACATTAAACCAGTGTAATGTAGCTCTCCCAAGCAATTCTAGAGAAACCCTTTTTCAGTTGAAAAGTGGCAAAGCTTCATTTATTACCCATTGTAAAGGTGCCTTCTCTAAATGCTGTTGAGCATCCCAGGTTGATATTGTGGATTATAGTGATAGCTAAGATGCTTCAGGACATAGGGATTAAACAAAAGGGCTTTTATTTCCTATTCCTGCTGCATTTGACTTAGTTCCTCAACCAGTCAGAGTGGGATTTGAGTGTGCAGCCTTCATGTTGCTGGTCCAGAACCACTGCATAAACTCATTTTTGCTTTGTGTGGCGTCCCATTTCAGTCTTTCATTTGTTGGTGATTCACAGTCTGGCAGGACCTGTACTCTCTAACTCATTTCTTGTGCGTACATGTGGTGTCCCATTGAGGATTATAGACTCATAAGTGCTGTGTATGTGTGTGTGTGTGTGTGTGTGTGCGCGTGTGTATGTGTATGTGCATGTGTGTGTGTGCGTGTGCGCGTGTGTGTGCGCGTATGTGTGTGTGTGTGCGCGTGTGTTTGTGTATGTGCATGTGTGTGTGTATGTCTGCGTGTGTGCGCGTATGCGTGTGTGCGCGTGTGTGTGCGCGTGTATGTGCACGTGTGTGTGTGTGCACGCGTGTGTGTGTGAGGGCGTGAAAGAGAGAGCACGAACCCACTAATCACAAATCATCAACACGAAGAGAAGCAGAATTCCTTGAAGCAAAGGAGCAGTTTCCTTTGGTGCAGTCTGCAAAGCAAAGGAGAACAGTCTTAAAATGAGTAGTTGGCATTTCACAAGTCAGGTCAGAAAACATGCCTTTGCACAAAGGATAGTGGAAATCCCTTCCTGGAATAGCTGCTGGGTCATTTGAGATTTTCATTACTGAGATAGATTATCAAGGAATATGAATCAACAATGTGAAAATGCAGGCAAGGTGTGGCTCAACGATAATTTACTTTAATATGGAACAGGCCCAAGTGGCTGGCTGGACCAATCCTGTTGCTTTTTCACCATCGCTGTTTCTCTTGTGTGAGTTTGGACATGGTTTCAAAGCGATATTGGAAATGCAGTGATATGCGTAGAAACCCCAAATGTACCTGAACAGAAAATTGATGAAATGGAATGCTCCCTCACTACATAGGAAAAGAATATCAAGTGGATCTAGATTGTAATCTAGCTATGTGAGGCCCCATGGAGAAGAGTGACCATAATATGATAGAATTCTTCATTAGGATTGAGAGTGATACAGTTGGTTCTGAGATTAAGATCCTGAACGTAAATAAAGGAAGCTACGATGGTATGAGCGGTGCGCTGGCTATGATAAATTGGGGAACATTACTTAAAGGGATGACAGAAAAAGGTAAAATCACCATAGTCTTACCAGACTGCAGAGAGAGATGGCTGGTGATAATTTAATCAGAGGATCACCATGTGAGGTGAGAGGTTGGGATGAAGAATCATTGGTTAACTTAGCCCTTCAATTCAGTTCCTTATCATTCCTGCATCAGCCAGTTGCTTCATTGTAATCTTAGTCAGTGTGGATTTGAACCCACACTGTTGGCATCACTCTGCATTGCAAACCAGCTATCCAGCCAACTGAGCTAAGTAGGTAGGCAATAGCAAATATTTAAAGAGCACACAGAGGAACTGCCAAAGTTGTTCACTCCAGTCTGGAACAAAAAATTAACTGGGAAAGATGGCCTGACCACGACTAACAAGAGAAATTCAGGATAATATTATACCCAAGGAAGGAACATACAAATTAGCCAAAATAGCATCAGACCTGAGGATTGGGAGCAGTTTAGATTTCAGCAAGGAAGGACAAAGGGATTTTTTGAGAGAAGGAAGATAATTTATGAGAGTAAGCTTGTGGGTAATATACAAACTGGTTGGAAAAGCTTCTGCAGGTTCTTGAAGAGGAAAAACTGTTAGGAAAGACAAATATTGTCCTTTGCAGTCAGAAACAGAGGAAATTTTAATGGTAACAAAGATATGGCAGATCAATTCAATACATACCTTGGTTCTGTCTTCACAAAGGAGGATGTAAGTAATGCCCCTAAAATGTTGGGGAACACTGGGTTTAATGGGAACGGGCAATGGAAAGAAATCAGTAATAGTAGTGAAATGATGTTTAGAAATTGATGGGATTAATGGTCGGTAAATCCCCAGGACCCAATAATCTTCATCCCAGAGTACTCACAGAAGTGACCCTAGAAATAGCAGATTCATCAGTGGTCATCTTCTAAGATTCTGTATGCTTTAGAGTAGTTCCTGTGGATTGGAGGGTAAATAACATAACCCTACAATTTAATAAAGGAGTTAAAGAGAAAACTGGAAATGACAGTCCAGTTAGCCCGTCATTTGTAGTGGAGAAACTCCATTATAAAAGAATTAAGAGCAAAGCAAATGGAAAAACAGTGCAAGGATCAGGTCAGCGTGGATTTACAAAGGGAACTCATACTTGACAAATCTTCTGGAATTCTTTGAGGATGTAACAAATAGAATTGATAAGAGGGGAGCCAGTGGATGTGGTTTACTTGGATTTTCAGAAGGGTTTGGAGAAGATCCCGCATAAGAGATTAGCATGTAAAGTGAAAGCATATGGGATTGGAGTCATACTGTCATGGATAGAGAAGTGTTTGTCAGACAGGAAACGAAGGCTAGAAATAAAAGAGTCTTTTTCCGAGTGACATGCAGTGACTAGTGGGGTACCGCAAGGATTAGTGCCTAGACCTCAGCTCTTCTCACAGTGTATATTAATTATTTGGGTGAGGAAACAAAATATAGCATTTTCAAATTTTCAAACGACAGAGAGTTGAATGGGACAGTGAGCCATGAGCAGCATGCAAGGTTGCTTCAGTGAGATTTCAGCAAGTTGAATGAGTGTGCAAATGCGTGGCCAGTGGAATAGTGTTGGATAAACATGGGGTTGTCCATTTTGCTTGCAAAAGCAGGAAGGCAGGTTAATATCTGAATGATGATTGATTGGAAAAGGGGAGATGCAACAGGATCTGGGTGTCGTTGTGCACCAATCATTGAAAGTGAGCATACCAGGTGTAGCACATGGTGAAGAAGGCAAATGGCATATTGGCCTTCAGAGCAAGAGGATTCAAGTAAAGGAGCAGGAATGTCTTGCTGTAGTTTTTGTCGGCACTTGGTGAGACCACTACTGAAATATTGTATATAGTCCTTATCTGACAGGTCTCCTTATCTGATGGAGTGCAAAGAAGATTTACCAGACTGATTCATATGTCAACAAAGCTGACATATGAAGAGAGACTGGATTGTTTAGGATGATATTCACTGGAGTTTATAAGAATGAGATGGGATAGAAACCTATAACATTATAACAGGATTGGATGAGATGAACACAAAGTGTGGTGAGCCTGTGGAATAATTCTCTGCCCCCAAAAGCTGATGAGGCCAAAAGATTGAATGTTGTCAAAGAGATAGATATGGTTATTCAGGTGAAAGGGAACAAAGGGTATGAGGAGAAATTGGGAGGTGGGTACTGAATCACATGATTAGCCATGATCATATTGAATGGTGGAGCAGGTTTGAGGGCTAAATGGCCCACTCCTGTATTCTGTATTTCTTGGGATCAGTGAACAGCTGCAAACAAGTGGGAAACTTGGAACCAGCTGACAAGAATAGAGTTCTTTGGTGAAAAATAATACAAGGAGAAGTGAAATTGAGTGATGACAGCTAAGTGGAGGGAAGTTCTGGGGCTTTGCGTGAAATCCAATTGTAGCCACAGCCTCCCTTACCTATCAGAAGCACTTGATGTAAAAATCCTGAGCAGTTTCTGCTGCTAAATCTATCATTGCCAAAGTAACTGGTGTTCCTATCACTGTCACTGGTCCCACAATAGAGGATAGGATAGATTGCGAGTCTTTATGGATCCATATTTCTTAACTGCTGCTTCAGAAAATGAAGTTATGGGACAATCTTTCTGGTGACAGTTGTCAAATTTAAAGTTATCACTTTCTCTCTCTCTCTCAAACATATATTTTTCAAACATGCGTGATCTTTTTTATCCATTTAGATCCTCAGGATATAGAAGGCAACATGGAAACAGCAAAGGTGATCGATTTGATCCCATGGATGGATTATGAATTCAGCGTCGTAGCAACCAATACCCTGGGCTTGGGAGAACCCAGTTTGCCATCCGCTAAAATCAGGACAGCTGAAGCAGGTGGGTTGCTCGCTCTGTGGAGACTTACTTTACACTTTGTGCTTCATCGCAAACAATTGTACACATCCCACAGTGCTTTACAGATTTTGTGAGCTTTATTTATGAAGTGAAAAGTACACGTGTACCTGTGGCGGCTTCTATAGAGACATCCAGTAATGTTAATACTTCAAATGATAACATTTACACTCCGCCCGAACATGTTAATGCTTTCCTGACTCCCGGCTAATGTCAACCTTTTAAAAAGTATTCATTATTTGGGATACAGGCATCACTGGCTGGGTCAGAATTTGTTGCAGATCCCAAATTGCCCCTTCATCTGAGTGGCTGAAGAGGGCAGTTCAGAGTCAGCTGCATTGCCGTGGTACTGTAGTCTTGTGGAAGCCAGACCAGGTAAAGATGGCGGATTTCCCTCCTCAAATCACACCAGCGAACCAGATGGGTTTCCACGACAATCCACGATGGTTACATTGTCACAATCAGGCTAGCTTGCAATTTCCAGATTTGAAAAATTGAATTACAGTTGCACCATCTGCAATGGTGGGATTTGAACTCCTGCCCACAGAACTTTAGCCTGGGGTCCAGGATTAGTGGTCTAGTGACAATACTGCAGTGCCACTGCCTTCTAAAGGAGGTAGCTTGTTAAGAGCTATGAACCACCTCATACCTGTTGTTCAGTTACTTACGTTGACATCTACTGCAACATGTTCCTGCATTGTTAGACACTCCCTAACTTGTCACTTATCAAGTACATTGACACTTGTTAAGTACGTTGGATTCTGAATCATAGTCAAGAACCCTAAACTAGAGATTGCGACTGTGAAAGCTGTGTTGTATCATTGATAGTACCAGGATACCTTTCACAGATGCATCCACTCTGTTGGTTTATTTCTTGCACAAGAAAGATTTGGAGTATCCATTGAATCGCATGAAGCATTCATGGTGAAATGATAACATACAGTAAAAGTGCAAACAAAAGTTGTATTAACTGCTAACTGAAAAGATGGGACTTTGGATTGAGAACAGTACATGTTTTTAGTTGCAGTTTGCAGTAGATTGCGTATTAGATGTCCATGTAGTGCCATTGGAATAACTGAAGTTCTAGTTCCTTCAGTTAACAATCTCTTATCCTGCTTTCAGATATTTGACCAATAGAAGTACAATGTGCAGAATCAGAATTGTGGGTGATTTCTCATCATTCTACTTTGCTGACCCAAAGTTCATGGTGGTTTATGAAAACAGTATGTATAGCAATATTAAGCTGTAAAGGGAGATAACGAATGAATGGCTGCACTGCTGATCAGTTATCTTGTAGCTGTGGCAGATTTGACTTCCTGTTGCGTGCTGGTGAGAGTTGGTTTTATGATATGCTTTGTTAACATTCAGTTGAAAGTTAAGAGCATGCCGACTGTCTCTTGTTCCACTATTGATGTGAGTCAGAAAGCAGGTCCAATCAGGGAAGTCTGTAATGTCCGTGTATAGTGGTCTGCTTGGCCAAGATTAGAGAAACAGTTCTGAAAAAGTGGAGGAAATGGATTTTTTTTTATTTTTGATTACCTTTTATCAGACTACTCAAGATATTATTTAAAGAAAACCTGGGTCTAGTACTGTACACAAGGTAGAATCAATTAAATATTGCTTTTGTTTCTGTTCTCTCAACCTGACTTGAAGCACTTGATTTTAGAAGCCCAACTCTCAGTATTAAACTTCACTTGGTTTGTGAGCAGGTCAGGATGGCATTACAGTGCTACCCAGCCACTTCCACACATGGCACTCTCAATTCACGTGATTAAGCCTTATAAAGGCAAGTTTGGTATTTTTTACACTGCGACTTTTGATATTCAGAATGAAAGATTGGTGTTTATAATATGTGTTCATAATCGTGGGAAATGCATTAACTGAGGGGAGCTGAGTTAAGGGGGCATGTGAATCTGCAGAAAGAAGTAAACATTTCCAGTAGATTCCTTTTCTTTAGAGATAAGTGAAGCCCCAACGCTCATGCAGAACCTACTTAATACCGGCATTGAAAAGCACACAAAAGATGAGTTTAGATAGCGAAAACTTATGGCGTTGCAATGAATTGAATCAGATTGGGTGATGATGCTGAGATGAAATGGTGAGGACTGGTATCTGAGCTGTTTTAAATCAATTGACCATGGGACTGATGTGACCTTCAGTCCTGGCAATTCAAGCCACAAAACTGGTTGACTGTCGTCCACCTGTATTTATGTTTCTTAGTTCCAGCTTCATCCTTTGTCCTTTGGTTGACCTAGAGGTTTAGAAATGGATGTCCTTTGCACTGTTGCCTCATTTGTGGGAAAATCTTCTACCAAAACGCATGGCACACATTCTGGGTTTTATATGCCTTGGTGGAAGCAAGGACAGAGGATTATAAAATGTACATATGTGCCTTGCAAAGGTGTGAGAAATTAGGGTCCTAGCAGACTTCGAGATCTGTCAATTTGCAGCACGCTAAAGATGTGGAATCCAACTTGACTTACTGCTCCTGGGTGCAGTTCACTGTAGAACTGACGAAGAGCTCATCTTTGCAGCTTCCAAGGCTTGAGGCAGTTGCTGTTTGTTTTCAGTAACACTGTTCAGTATCAGGACATTTCAAATGAAGTTGCTGAGTGGTGTATACAGGACAATGAAGATGTGTACTTGGGACACCGAGAAGATTAAGCAAGGCTCCAATTACTAGGCTGTCTGAACTGACACGAGAGCTGCTGCTGGTTTTGCTCGAAGGACTCCAGTGGTCACTTGGGTTCTGTGTTTGGTGGTCAATAAATACTTTCTTCACTTCTTGAACTATTCAGACATCATAAACTGAAGTGTAGGTCACCTACACTCTGTTTTAGAAGTTGCACATAACCAGTTTTATATTGCAGGTGTGTAACAAATGAATCTGTGTGTTGGCAATCTACTGTAGTGTGTTGTGTTACCACACTGTCATATAGTTTCCACTGATTTTCCAAATCTAAATAAAGTTGCTTCTTTGAACTGTTCCATCTTGCTCAATTATGTTTTCAGGAAAAAGAATATTACTCACTGAGGACATTTATAGTTTCTGTTGCTAGCCATATGGAGGTGAGAGGAGTAGGAATATTTGCTGTAATCTCAAAGGTTCAGTTTCCATTTAATGATAATGTTTCTGTTATGAGGCACATTTACTTCTGAATCAGACAAGTTTTACCGTTTCCAAATTTCAGTTAAAAAGACAGCACGATATGTAAACTAGCAAAGTGCAATATAATGCAGATGTGTTTGTTGACTGTTCAAAGTCAACAACATATTTTTGGCCCATTTTGGGTTACACTATTGTTCAGCTTGATCACTGATTTAACATAACATAGCATATCTGCAAGGATATGAGTGCACTATCATCTCATTCACATTTATTCCTGAACTGAAAGACTTGTTAAATTATAGGAGAGCTACATGTAGGGACTGTGAACATATGCATTGTTACTGAATGATAGCTGTTCACTTAAATGTTCTTTGTTGAATGATTATCTTTTCCATAAGAATGTTTGCGTGTGTAAGTCTGTGCACACTTGCAACTTAAGTCTATGGTTTTTAGTATATCTCAGTACATTTTCTTATCTGGGTTCATTTTGCTGCTTTTACTAGAGGTTTTGTAGTACGTAGTTATTATTTATGACAGAAATACACAGACTTTATGATGTGCATTAAGATCAGTGCGACTGTAGGAATAGCATGTCTGACCGTTCAGCCTTTCAAACAGTTTGGATTCAGTGTTACCAAGTTGACCATAATGTTTTATATAACCATATTCAACTCTACTTCATGTGTCAGAGTTTGTTGTCGTACCTTCCAAATGTGCTGTGAGATACATATATATGTGTGCATATTGATGCATTTCTTTTCGTGTGGATGAACATGATAGAATTTTGATGATTAATCATACTCTTGTTTCCATCAATCCTCAGGATTTGAAACATTTTGTACCTTTGCTATATATATTGCATTTTACTGTCACTGGGCCAGAGCACCACTGCAATATTTGACTGTTTGTATCTGCATTGTAAATGAGATTTTTATCAGCTTGGATTGTTGCTTCTTGTGAAGCCTTGTCCCTTTCCTTGTATTGCATAGAACCACACGTAGTATTGTCTTAATTCTGTTTTGCCTCGAAAAATGTCAGTAAACATGATGCACTGGTCATATGCATGAAACCAGGCTTGAAGAGGACTATCGCATTCACCTGTGTTGCGGGAGTTCAATCCTCTACATCTCAGCAAGGAACTAGCACAACAATAAAACTCAGACACAACTCTGTAGCAGGTGGGAGTTGAAGCTAGGTCTTGTGGCCCAGAGGTAAAGAGGTGACCATTGCACACAGATTCCCCTAATGCAATAATGATGCGTTACCTATTTCACCATATTTCTTTTATATATACATAATCTTAAATATCATTTAAAGGACAAAGTTCGTGTTCGTCAGCTGTTGGAAATAATACTTGTTTTTATATCATGCTCCTCATGACTTCAGCTAACCAAGTGCTTTTGAAGGGTACTCACCATTTTAAGGTAAAATATGGCTGCCAAATTTGCATGCAGCTTGCTCCTACAAACAATAATGCAATGTTAATTGAGGGGTAAATATTGACGAGCACATGATGAGAGGGGGCAGACAGGGTCTTGGTTTAATTTCACCTCTGAAAGGCATCTCTTCGAATGGTGCAGCATTCCGCTGCTATTGAGCTAGAGTGTCAGCAAAAATTTTTTATGTTGAATTCTCTGAAGTATGACTTGAGCCTAATCCCTTCTGGCTGAGAGGTGAGACGGCTTCTGTATACAGCTGCGGGCCAAGCATTTAAAATGTTTCCACAGTGAAGCAGTCGAAAAGGAAGAAGATGTTAAAAGTTGCAGGCATTGCCATTAGTGAGACCAAACTCAAATTTTTCATCTCGATACATGTGTAAAGCAACAGTGGTACATGCATGGAGAGCAGCTTAGAATCCAAAGTAAACACTTGCTGA